CCGTGTGGCAGGGGCCATATTATAACTAACTGTTTTTTAGATCCTTACAATTATCACAAAGCCTGTTTTTCATTTTGTTTTATTTTGTATGTTCTTTTTTACCAATACCTGACAAGATAAATCTTTTTGAAAAGCCATAGTTAGCATCTCATAGTATTGTACACTTTATATAGGATCTTCTGCCTTTAATATCTAATTCTTAAGGTTAATAAAAAAAACTCTGAATCATGAAGAATACTGAGTTGATTTTTTAAAATCTTCAGTCCATCCAACTGCTCTGACGTGCCCAGATTTGTGATTGTGTAAATCTTTCAGTATTTGTGGAGGCTGGTAACTGTTCATCTTCATAATTAAAAAATGAGAAACATGGTCTGACAAATTTCCCACTAAAAACTGAAGTACTGACCTAATAAGTTCATGAGATTAAACAAAATAATTACACTATTATATGACATAGAAATATAAGTATACTCTGTAATCTCATCTAAATCGGTGTAACCATTAACCATAGCCAGACAGCAATAAAGAACCAAAACCATGACTAAACAGAAAAAACAACAATAAATTATAAACAATTGTTAAATGTATATTGTGTCCCAGTGATTATTAGAAGCACAGGCATAGTAAGGCAAAAAGTTCACTTAAAGTCCCCATTACAGGCAGGACCCTCTCAGAGGTCCAGAGAGCCACTTCCACCTATTGAGGCCCTAGCAACACATGCATAAAACAAGCTGCAAAACAACCTGCACCTGTCCATCTTTTGCCTGATCTGGTCTGATCCAACCGCAGCTGGCTGCAGCAGCCTCTTAAAGGGGCTGCTTGGTGGTGGTGCTGTACCTTATGTCATCAGTTTGCTGCTGACTGGGGGGAGCCAGGGCAACAGCCCAACAGTTGGAGCTAATGGCACATTCACCTGATGCAGCCAGGGCAAGCGGGGGGGGGGGGGCACGGGCGCCTGGAGAAAGTCCAGTCTTGGACACATCACAGGTGTCCCTTTTGGGGAAATCTGACAACTCTTGACTTAGTGCAACTAAGCAGTGTTAGCAGCCCAGCTACAAGAGCTAGGCAGTCTTTTTTCCATCAGAAGGGGGGAGGGAATTCTTAAGATGAATTACTGCTCAAAAATTATTTTAAAAGTGGCAGGATAAGAAACAAGCATCAGAGCTGTATCTTTGGCATCCTGTCAAGTTCTCTGTCTCACTCCAAGATCTTATTCTAAGCAAAAGCAACAGTGTTTTGGCTTCCAAACTGGCAAGCATTGCATAAACAATTTGAACACAGCATGGCCAATTCTTACACAGCAAGGCTGAAGTAAGTCTGTTGGAGGTCAGTTTGGAAATCTCCTGAGACCTAGAAAGGCTAAAGCAGCCGAGCTGTCAGACACAAACTTACGTTTCACAAAATGGTCAGACATTGCGGTAATACAGGCAAAATAGCCTGAAGTAAAACTAGATGAGTGCTCCTGCTATTGAGTTATATACCAAGGGATGTCTGAGCTTTGAATTAATTTTGGGAAAATATGAAAAATAAAATGCCACAAAATAGTGCAGGTATGTACAGTAAGCCAAATTGCACCACTCATGAGTAAGTGAGGTCCTAGGCACTATCCAGTAGTGGTGTGTGTGCCAAGAAAAAAGTAGTTATAACTTTGGGTCCGGGGGTGGTGGTGATTTTTACCTTGATTGTTTATTTTCAGGTAAGACATTACTGGTTTGAGATTCAAATCTGTATGGTTTCAGAGTTTCGGACCATTATTTTCAATGGGGAATTTATATGAGCATCTGGGGCAGATGTTTATAAAGTTAATGGCACCAAATTTGCATAGAACATACTCCTTCCTATAATCTAAAGACTCCTCCCCCAAGTTTCAAGTAAACTGGACCAAGGGGGACAGTTTTACATACCCCTGAAGTAGATGCCTCTTAGCACAGACTCTGTTTTCTTCACTGGTTCCTAAAATGATGGTCACGCAACAAACTGGTAGGAGACCTCTGGCCAACCATGGCATTAAAAAACCCTCAACAATGTCTGCATTTTCATACTCTTACAGTAACTGACTGACATTAACATTTCTTACCTTTCCACTGAAAACTCTATAGTTGCAATCCTTTCTTGTTGTAGTCTGTTTCTTTTCACAAAATGAAAGAGGCTTCCTTTGCATACTTCCCCTTCTTTTCTGTCAGCCTGCCATTATGGCTGTGTACTAAAACAAATGTCAGGAATGTCTGTTGGGAACAATGGGAGAGGCCGGAAGGTCCATTGGGTATAACGGGAGCCAGGAATGCCAATTGGCTTGCATAGGATCCATTGACATATGTTCCTGCACACAAACATTTCAATGAAAATGCAGAATGGATTATGAGAAATCTACCCTGGGCCTTGAATGACAGCCTTCAGAGTGGAATGACAGTCCCTGGGACTGGAATCAGTGTTCTGGGGGCTGTCATTCCAGTCCCAGAGCCGTTTGTATGGTCCTGGGGATCATCCTTCCACTCTAGGGTTGTCATTTCCAGTTCCAGAGCATAGATTCCAGTTCCAGGGGCTGTAATTCCACTCTGGGGGCTGTAATTCCAGTCCCAGAGCACTGATTCCACTCCCAGGAGACATAATTCCACTCTGAAGATGGCTATTCCAGGCTTCTTGTAATGTGTTCCACATTTTCACTACAACTTCAGTGTGCTGTAATGTATTTCATTGGAGCCTATGCAAGTCAATTGACATTCCTGGCTCCCATAACATTCAGTGGGCCTTCAGGCATCTCCCATTGTTTCCAGTGGCATTTCTGTCATTCATTTTAGTACATCCTGCCGTTATGCTCCATGGAGGACTTTTCAAGGGGACTGGAGCGGCTGTTTTTCAACCAAATGATACCAAAATTGCAGCAGAGTAAATGCTGCCTGTCTACTAAAGAACCAAGTTTCAAGCAAATTAGACCAAGGGGATGAATTCCATGGACCCCTGAACAAGCTGCCCCAGCTCTCCATAGAAGAAGAAGAAGAGGAAGAAGAGGAGGAGGAGATTGGATTTATACCCCACCCTTCACTACCCGAAGGAGTCTCAGAACAGCTTACAATCTCCTTTCCCTCCCCTTCCCACAACAGAGAGCTATCTGAAGAACTGCTTTTGAGAGAACAGCTCTGAAAGAACTTGTGACTGACCCAAGGTCACACCAGCAGCTGCATGTGGAGGAGGAGTGGGGAATTAAACCTGGTTCTCCCAGATTAGAGTCTGCACTCTTAACCACTGCACCAAACTGGCTCTCCAGAAGAGAGAAGAGCAGAAGAGCTGTGCGCCTCACAAAGAAGGGAGGGAAAGAGAACTGTGATTGGCTGGAATTGCTCTGTGCTCCTCCCTTGCAAGGATGCAACTGGAAGGGAGGCATTCCATTGCTGGAGAAATCAGTAGAATCAAGGAAGTACAGTGGCACATGCAGCCAGCTAGCAGCATCTGAACTCGAAAACAACATGAATTTCTTCTGGGAGGGTAGTTTCATTTCACTAAGAATCCCAGATTCCTTATACCATTCTGGAAAATCACAGTAATGACATGAAACAGCAATTTCCTTGGATAACTTTGGCTCAGGTATTTCAATTTGCACCCTACTATCCTGTAAGTTCTGTAACAAAATAATTAGTACATTCCACTAAGAAATCTCAGTGTTAAAGCATGCACAGCTTGGGAGAATAATAGCATTTTTCAACTAATAAAATATTATGTTGGAATGCTAGGAAAATATGATGTCCCTGTAACCAAGGATTACCTTGAAAACAGACATCTAGATTATGAGTAACAAAATCAGTATAAATCATGCATTTATTGCACGAAAGAAAATTATTTTATGAAATGAGATCAAAGTAAAAGGAGCTATGTATAATGTCACTCAGAAAGATAAGAAACAAAAGTCCTGCAAAAAAAACTTGAAGGTTATTTTCATCAATGTAACATACACAAAATGATATACGGGTGGGACAAACAGCTTCTTTATTGTGTTGATTGTGCAGATAGCAGGGAGTTGGTGGTTTGCAACCTGAATCACTAAGATGCACAATTGGAAGAGAGAGAAGCTGAAGCCTTCCCTGGTAGCCATCAGAACTGCCCTAGGGAGGCCTGCTTTACATTGAAAGCCTGTTGAGCTAATTATAGGGAAAGCTGTTTGTGATAACTTTCAGATGACAGACTATATTTGTCATTCCAAAGACTCTTCTGTTATGGCAAGTTTTGTGCTCTTTTGGGGATACATGAAGTCAAGTTGACATGTCAGCTCAGAGATTATGGGAAATTATGAATAGTATTATATTCTAAAAGGTCCAAACCAGTGAAAAAGGATACAGCAATTTCATTGTCTAAAAGTAGCTAGTTTCTCCCTGTAGCTGTTGGGCATAATTAAAATCCTGTTAGCTGCAACATGCAGGAGGAAAAGGTTAGCAATAAGACTGATGTAGCATCAGTTCAGGAAGCACAGAGTCTGCATCTTCTCTTGCTTCTTACTTGGTACAGGCATCGCTTTAGTGGGAAGTTGATGTCTAGCTATGCCCTACATTTAATTAGCATATTTTCTTCACTTTTAAAAGGTAATTTAAATATGATTTGAACAGAGTCATTTCACTTCACCGTACAGTTTTGAGGACATAAGTGTACTTATATATCCTTAAGAAGGAACAATTTCTGCTAATTCCCCTGCTGATGCAGACCACTGAACCACCCAAAAAGTTGTTCTTGAGGAGTCAGTGAACCTTCAAGAATAGTACAGAAAGCAGAGTGGAGGGCTGCTGTGGGACAGAAGAATCAGTGGCAATTGCTGCCCCTCTTTAAAAAGTGCTCTTATGTCTTTGGAATGTATGGCTGGATCCAGACCTTTATATCCTTCTTCTGTTAGAACTGTGGGATGGTTTCTGTGATATGAAGACTATTTGAGGGAGACAGCTTATCGGTATGTATTTATTTGTATTTATAAGGGAAGGAAAATTGAAACAACGGTAATATTTCTCTCCTTCTTTCAGACATATCAGTGACCATGTTGCAAACCTGTATCCACAGCTGTTTAAGAATGTTATCATTAGGAAAAAAGTTGAAGATTTTATGGGGTAAGTACAGAGCTGTCAAAATTGCATTGAGGAACTGAAACTACATGATACGGTTCAGATATCCCCAGTGATATGTGCCCTTGTAACTTAACTAGTTGATGCAGAAAGAGCTTATGCCATGATAAATCTATTAATCTTTAAGGTGCAGGAGACTTTCTCTTGTTTTGGCTATAATAGGCTAATATAGCTATCTCCCTGGAAGATCCTGCGAAAATCAGTGTCCGCAAAGACACAGGATGACTCCAATTAGGTCAGGAGTAGGGGTGTGCACAAAAAAAATATATTCAGAATATTTCGGGTTTGGCTCTACCGAACCCGAAAAATGTCAGTATTTGCTGATATTCTCGAATCCCAGTATCGGTATGATACTGGGGTTTGGAAATTATTGGACTAGCTGAATTTATTCAGCTCAATTACACCCTAGGGGGACTGTCCCTATAGGGTATAATAATCCCTCCCTTGAAGGGGGGGGTCTCCTATCACTAAAGGGAAGGCAAATTGCCTTCCCTTCAATGAAGGGAGCGTGCTGCCTCTGCAGCATGACAGAGGTTTAAAGTTTAAATCCCCCATGAGTCGCGCCGCAGAAGCAGCACGCTCCCTTCATTGAAGGGAAGGCAATTTGCCTTCCCTTCAGTGATGGGAGACCACTGCTCCCCGAGCTACTTGTGGGAGAAGCATTTTAAATGCCTTCCCGTGCCTTCCTCAGCCCATCCGCCAAAGCATGTAAGCTGGGGAATGCTTGGAGGAAGCCCCCCGTGCCTTCCCCGGCCTACCCACTGAGGCGGGCAAGCCAGGGAATGCCTGGAAGAAGTGGGGAGGCATTTTAGATGTCTCCCTGTGCCTTCCCCAGCCCACCCGCCAAAGGTGAGCCAGGGAAGGCCTGCAGGGAGACATTTTAAATTTAAAACACTTTCCCTTGCTTCTGGAGCTCATGCCGCTTTCGCAGCGCGACTCCCCAGCCAAGGGAAGGTATTTAAAGTTTCCCTTCCCTGACCAGCAAAGGGATTTCCTGAATGGATGCCAAATATACAGCATCCATTCGGGGAATCCCTGTTCAGCCAGCTGAATCAGATTCCCTAATCTGATTCGGCTTTCGGCATGTCCGAATAATGCCAAATAGGCATTCAGTTTGTTTTTCGGTTCATCCAAACCAAATGCACATCCCTAGTCAGTAGTAATTACATTTAGTGGAGGAAACATGATTTGTGAACCATACTTGTATGAATTTATGAGGAAACATGCTGAGAAAATCTGGTGTAATTACTTCTGAACACAAAGCATGTGTTAGTGCAGTGACAGTTTCATATTGCTTGGAAAACAGTACAGCGTTAAACGTGTTTACTCAAAAGTCTCACTTGGTTTAGTGGGATTTAGTCCCCAACCTGCAATGAAAGTTTATTTCTGTGAGATGATTCCCATTATGAAAAATGCTCTGTAAAGTCAACTTTATCCCCATACAGGAAACAAGATCAGTGGACCAGAGAACAAATTAAAAACAATCCAGATGACCCCTTTTGGAGACACACAGGATACATCATTGCTCAGTTGGATGGGCTATACATGGGAACTGTAGAGTGGGCTAAACAGCAGCAAAAACCAGTAAGATTAAATTGTCTTTAAATAACTTGGAGGTAGAAGAGAAAGGAGAACTGAGATAAACTTTTCATTATGTAAAGATGTCGTTTTGGCTCTAAACTATGCTTCCACTCATGGGCAGAATTCTGAGTGGAAGGGCACTTTAGAATCCAACCCAGAGTGCTCTCTACTCTACAAGACAATGCAGAAAGCCTTCCTGTTAGCTCCAAGTTTCATCTCAATATCGTTTTCTAAAGAATTCAATTATACCACAGCTATCAGATTTGTATAGGGCATGTGATATGAGTGTCAGAGTGGAGGATTGTTCTCAAAAACTTTCCATTTGCAACTCTAGCTTTTTTGGAAACTAGGTGGAATGCTAAAATCTGTATGCATCTGTTCTGTTTTACACACAGAATGGAAAGTGACACTGCATGGAGCTCCTGCAATCAGGGCCATCAACAGAGCAGGACTGGGCCCCTCAAATTCAGGTGGCCCAAGTCTGCTGGAGGGCCCTTGAAGCCAGTGTCATGCTGCATCCAAACGTTTTTCCATTTAGTTTAATACAGTTCTGTCTGCAGCCACTAGGGGTGCAGGGAAGCCTGAACACAGAGAAGACACTCTATTATCTGCTATTCTTGCCTTTCTCCAAGACTGAAGCAAATTACCTAACAGATCATGCCAACATGATCATCAACTAAGGCGGCACTGGTGCAAGACAAGACAGTATACTGATGGCTGGTACAATATTTGGCAGCCTGGAGCCTGCTAACAGCCTAGCATTTCTCTCTTCCTTTCCTTGCACCCAGCTCAGTCAGATCTTGCAAAGTGGTTGTTAGGGTGTTGCAGCAAGTCAAAATAACCTTTCCCTCTTTTCCTTAATTTCTGTCCCTCTTTTCTACACTTTTCTCATTCATTTCTATTTCCCTCCACCTAATTTTTTAATGTCACCCCCCCCCCTATTTTTACTTCTTGGCCTCAAGACCTTCTCATCCCGATCCTGCTCAGTGACAGAATGTACTTAGGAGTAGTAAAGTTGCGAACTTTTATAAATATTATAAACAGAAGGGGGGAGTTAATATTTCCCCATGATCTAACAAGGATGCTTCCCCCCTCCTCTACCCTTTACATGTATGGTAATGGAACATTAATCTGTTTTAGTGGTTATTCACAAGGAACAGAAGTTACAGGTACTGGGTTGCTAATCATTATTGTGCTGGTGGAAGAGCTAATAGCCCTTTGTAAAGGCTACTTTGCTGTATGACAAATGATACAATCTTTTTAATATTATTAAAATTAGATTTATAACAAACTAGTAATAAGGCCCGTTGCGGAAATAAATGAAACAAGCTCTAGAGAGGGTCTGGGAGAGTGCTCCTGCCTACAGCCATGGCCCGCATCTTCCCCGTGGATAGCCATATAAAAGGCGGGGGGGGGGGATATGGTCAGGCCCCACACCACCTGGTCTTCCCAGCAGCTTCAGAAGGTGAAGTGTCAGGCTAGGACAGAGGTATTGAACTCATTTGTTACAGGGGCTGGATCTCACATAAATGTCAGTTTGTCAGGCTGGGCCATGTGTGCTATAAAACGTAACACAAGGTACCGGAGATATAACCTTTATAAAGGGCGCATACCCTACCACAATGTTGTTACTCTTACTTACTTTTTCTACTGCTATTAGAAACCACAACATTAAAAAAACAGTTGGGGAACATTTTAACCTTCCAGGACATTCAGTTGCTAACTTAAGAGCAGCAGTTCACTTACAAAGGAATTTCAAAGTGAGATTAGAAAGGCTGCTGAATTGCAACTGGTAATGAAGCTCAAGACAATGCATCCTCCTGGACCTAGGTTTCTTCCCTCATTACCAATGCCTGCTATTGTCATTTGGCATCTGAAATCACTTCACTCTTCAAGATATAAGGACAGATGGACTCACATTCTAGCTGTATCTGAAGAAGTGAGCAGTGACTCATGAAAGCTCATGCCCTGCCACAAATTTTGTTAGTTTTAAGGTGCTCCTGGACTCTTGCTCCCTTTAACTAATGAAGATTGCAAGCTGTGCTGTTAGGTTTCTTCCACCCCAATCTGTTACAACTGGAAAGGGGGATCACTCCAAGTACCATGGGATGCTCTCTCTCTCTCTCTGGCTTTTTCCCTCCCCCCCCCTCTCTGAAGAAGTGTTCTTGTACACAAAAGCTTATACCTGGAATAAAATGTTGTTGGTCTTCAGTTCTTGGACACACTCTCTCTCGCTCTCGCTCTCTTCTAAAGGAGTGGGGGAGCCTTCAGCCAGTCAAGAGAAAGGAGGCTTGCCCTTTTTTCTCTCCCCTGGAAGCAGGAAGCTGGACAGGAGAAAGCTGGGCTAAAGCAAGTTGCGATGCAAAAATCAGGAACAAGAAGCAGGAGAGAGCCAGTTGCTCGTGGGCCAGATAGGAGCCATGAAGGGGCCAGATTCAGCCTGCTGGCCATATGTTTGACAGCCCTGGACTAGGATCTGGGAAACCCAGGTTCGTATCCTGACTTTGGCATGAAAGCTTGTTGCGTGATTTTGGGCCAGTCACACACCCTCAGCCTAACATGCCTCACAGCTTGTTGTGAGAATAAATGAAGAAGAGGATAATGATATAAGCCGCTTTGGGTCCCCATTGAAGGAGGAGTAGGAGTTTTTTTATATCCCACCCTTCACTACCCAAAGGAGTCTTGGAGTGGCTTACAATAGCCTTCCCTTCCTCTCCCCACAACAGACACCCTGTGAGATAGGTGGGGCTGAGAGAGTTCTGAGAGAATTGTGACTGGCTCAAGGTCACCCTGCTGGCTTCATGTGGAGGAGTGGGGGATCAAACCCGGTTCTCCAGATTAGAGTCCACTGCTCTTAACCACTATACCAAACTGGCTCTCCTGTGGAGAAAGGTATAATATAAATAAAGTAAATAAACAAACATGGACAGACAAGCCAATTTTATTACTATGGATTCATGCTAACAGCAAGCCAAATGATTTGTTCATTTTGTTATGCTATTTAGTTAGGATCACCATCATATGGAGGGGGGGGGCAGATGGAATCTGTTTCCAGGGGCCCATGATGGCTCTTGGCAGCCCTGCCTGCAATTGCAGCCGTAATTGTTGTGTGGGCTGGTGACCCTCTAGATTATCAAAAAGGCAGCAGCACTGTGAATTAGCAAACTGAGAATTGACTGAAGGCAAATAGCTTTTACCCTTATTGCCAAGGTCAGCTATTTTATTTCATGCTGTCATAGTAAAGACATGAATAACTTAGCTGACCTTTCCATCTTTGTCTAAGCACTGCAAGGAACCATGGAGCCTGGGGGCTGATGAAGTCAGGATCAACAGCATTCAAAACAAATTGCATTTATCCCCTGTGGGTTTTACTTCCAGCTTCTGCTGAAATTAAATCATAGAAACAAAAAAGAAAGAAAAAGAATTGTTTTACAACCAGCTCTGTGATCCTACTAAGCACATGTATTTGGAAGTCATCCCGAGACTGGCAGATAGAGGGGCTGGGACCCCCATCCGACACTGGTGTTGTGCAACGCCAGGTCCATAAATAACAAGACCGCAATCCTCCGGGATTACCTGCTAGAGCAGGGCGCGGATCTGGTGTGCGTGACTGAAACCTGGGTGCGAGACGGGGAGACAATGGCTCTCTCCCAGTCGGCTTCACCCGGTTTTGCGGTCCTTCACCAATCACAGACCGAGGGGCGGGGCGGGAGGAGTGGCACTGTTCATTCGGGAGGCTTACTCCTACAGGGCGCTCCCGCCGTTAAAGCTTGCAGGCATTGATTGCTCGGGCCTGGTGTGGGAAGCTGGGGAGAGTCTGGCTATCTCGTTGGTGTACCGAATGCCTAACGCACCAGCCGACAGCCTGCCATCTCTGGTTGAGGCCGTGTCTGGCTGGGCATTGAAGTTCCCTAGGCTGATAGTCTTGGGTGACTTCAATGTCCATGCCGAGGATACAGCCTCTGTACTGGTGATGGACCTGGGGTCGTCCATGGTGGCACTAGGACTCACCCAATATGTAACTTCCCGGCGGGGGTTACAGTGGACCAGATTACTGCCTTGGCGGTGCCATGGTTGGACCACCATGCCCTGAAGGCCCGTGTGAATGTGTCCCTCCGAACCCGTTTGGGCGGTGAGTGTATTTTGGCTCACCCACGGAGCCAAATGGACGCTCAGCAATTTCAGATGGCTCTGTGGGATCCCATGCCTCCTGGTGGCTCATTAGATGAGCTTGTTGAGGACTGGCATGGCCGGCTCTTGGCAACCATTGATGAGATCGCCCTCCGACGCCCTCTGCGCCCTCATTCTAAGCAGGCTCCCTGGTTTACTGAGGAGCTGCGGCAAATGAAATGAGGGCTCAGACGACTAGAGAGATGGTGGCAGTGCGCCCGTGATGAAGCAGCAAGAGCATCATATAGGACGTTTATGATATCCTATGAGATGGCAGTCAAAGCTGAGAAGAGACAATTCTATGCGGCCGCGGTTGCATCTGCTAGCTCACGCCTGGCACAATTAATTAGAATGATTCGGTCATTAACAGAGCTGCCACAGGGCAGGCCAAATGATAGGGAATTGGACATTGGCTATGAGGCTTTTGCGAGCTATTTTGCAGATAAAGTCCTGCTACTCTGCCATGATCTCCCGGCCACAGTTGAGACAGTGAGCGAACTCGAGGCTCCATACACATCTCTAGTTCTATTCTGGATTATTTTAGTCCACTCAGTCTTGAGGAAGTCAACAGATTGCTCTCAATGGTACGTCCAACCACGTGCAGCCTTGATCCGTGCCCTTCATGGCTTATAAAAGCTAGTCATGAGGGGCTACGAGGTGCCCTCAGGGACATTATCAACAAGTCCTTCTATGAGGGGCTGTTCCTGGGGGCACTCAAGGAAGCAATGGTCTTCCCTCTCCTGAAAACAAATCATTGGATCCAGCTGAATTGGCCAACTATCGGCCAGTCTACAATTTGCCCTATTTGGGCAAATTACTGGAGAGAGCGGTGGCGATTCAGTTGCAGAGCTTTATGGATGACACTTCCA